AAAAGGAAAAAAAATCTATGTGTAAACATAAAAAACAACAAAGCAGCTCAAATAGGTCCCGGTACTAGTAGCATCTTAAAAACTAAGTACCAGCAGAATTTCACCTCTGACTTCTAAGTTTGGTCATAGCCCAAATGTATACCAACTTTTGTCCAAATCCACTCAGCCATTTTCGAGAAATCTTGCTGATAAACACACACACACACTGAGGTGAAAACATAACCTCCATCCACTTTCAGTGACAGAGGTAATAACAACGTAATGTATGAATCAGCAATGTTACTTTCAGGCTATCAATAAATTACAAACTTATAAGCTTAATACAAACTTTACAAAATATCAATAAGTAATCAAGTTGTAACAAAAAATCTCAATACCCAACTCAAAGAAACATGAACATTAAAACAAACCAATGTTGTTAACATCAACTCATGAAAATAAAATGATAGCAATAATAATGATATTAGCAAATTATGAAAAAAAGAACCAAAAGAAGAAGAAAAGCCTGATTTGTTAGATTATTCAAAACAACAATATTGAGCACTTCTAAAAAAACAAATAACATTAAATTGCAAATAAATATCAGGCAGATATTTGTAATAATTTTTTTTTAACAATAAAATACCTTGCATATCACAGCTCTTGTCAGGTTTATATTTCCTTGGCAAGCCACCAGATTACATATCACATGACTAACTACTTAACATTATTTTACATAGTCATACAAGATATTAGTATCCATACGTCATCACTAGGGGAACCTCGTCTTGGTGTCTTAGTATAAATATCACTCATCCAATATTTAATATATACTAGGATGTAGGTGAATTAGTGTTTAAAGCAAATAAAAATATGGGTAAACTCTTTTTTTTTTTTAGTAAAAATATATACATAACAGGCTAAATTTAAATATGATATTCTCAGTGTAGCTGGGTTGATTAGTCAATTAAGTTTATTAACTGATTACACTAATTGATGTCATGGAAAAAAATTATTAATCAAAATTAGT